AAGGAACATTTGGTATGTTTATATGGCTGTTGATTTGGAAGCTTGTGTTAATCAACTAATAAGTTGTTCTATGATATTTATCATATGTTGACATGCTGTATTTGGGATGGAAAGCTTAGTGGATTATTTTATATATTTTTGTGCATGCCTGTATTGTACCTATGTTGCTTATTGTATGCTTTATTGTGCTTTTAAATTATGTTTATGGAATATGGTTGATTTGGAGGCATGGATTATTCGCTAAGGTATAAGTATATTGTTATTTAATTTGTATGGAGAAAACATACATTAGGAGGCATGGATTATTTGCCGGAGATCCAAATAAATTGTCATTAATTAAATATGGACAATAACATACTATTGGAGGCATGAGTTATTTGCCAAGATATAATTGGAATGTCAATTGGTTAAGTATAAATAAATAGGGTTAATTACAATTACACCCCCTAAGGTTTACTCTAATGACAACTATATACAAGTTGAGCCATTTTTGAACGATGACACCCCTTGAGGTTTGCTAAAGTTAGCAAAGACACCCGAATTGTCCTTACACATAGTGAATTGACATTATTGTCCTTTGACATATTCAATTACCAATTTGCCCTTCAATCAATATCAAGATTGTATTATCTATTTTTATAAAGTGACGCTTTTGCCCTTCAATCAATATCAAGATTGTATTCTTCCATTTTTCTCTCTCTAAAATTATTTTTTTTGGGGAAAGTAATTTATAATATAAGTATAGAGATGGATCCGAATCCTGGCTTGGATTCTCAAAAAGAGAACTACAAAAAGCGCTCAGTAAATTGGGGAAATAATCATTACTTCCTATATCATATCATATAATTTGATTCTCAGACAACAAAACAACATGAAGAAGAATTGAAGTTATATATAACATATATATATATATGTGTGTGTGTGTGTGTGTGTGTGTGAATTTCTCTAAATTTGCAAACCCATCTTCTTGGGCTTGTCGATAACTAACTCATTCGGCGACGACTTGGCCATGAAGTCGACCTTGAAGGCGAGGGAGGATTGCGCCGGCGATGGTGGTCTGGCAGCGTTTATTTCCACTGCCGATTATCAACGGCACAGAAGAACAAGCAAAGTGATTTGAGAGAGAAGAAAAATGGAGCTTTCTCAAGGAAAGAAGCCTGGTCTAATCCACATTCATCTGGGTTTGATGAGATTTTCATATTTGCAAATGGATTGGACTATGTTTTGCTTCTTTTTCCTGACACCGAGCTGTGGCAAATCCAGACCCCCTCGCTGATCTGAGCTTCCGATCTACATGTTAAGAATCCTAATCTTTCACTGCCGAATGCGAATTTATTTGCCCCAAACCAATTTATCTTCCACCTCGAGAGAAATTAGGAATTTCGTATAGTGAATGTCTTATTTACATTTTGGATCCATGGTTGTTCTTTGCCTCTGGCAGATGTGGTTGGGGAGAGGCAGCGATGATAGATGTGGTTGGGGAGAGGTGGCGACGACGAATCAAGATTGTGGGCTGATGTGGGTGGGGGTGATGGCAGAGGTGGAGGAAGGAGGCGGTGAGATTGTGGAAGTGGAGAGAGGTGGTGGACGTTGCAGTGGAAAGAGGGTGGAAGTTACGGTGGTGCGACGGTGCCGGACCGTAGATGGGAGGTGACGGTGCCGGATCGTACGTGGGTGGGGATGGTGCCCACCGCTGTTCTTCCCCGCCGATGATTTTCTGTTAGACTAGGTTATATATATATATATATATATATATTTATTTATTTATTTATATATGATGGTGCGGATGTAATAGCGTATATATATAAGGGCAAATTTGACTTTTCTTGAGTTCTGATATTTTATTATTGAAAAGAATTAAATATTGAAGGGCAATCTCGTTTTTTCCATCGTTTTAAGGGCTTGTTTGGATCAAAATTCTCACAGAGGGTGTCTTTGTCTAAAAAAGGGCTAAGTTGTATATGGCTGTTAATATGTCAAACCTCAGGGGGTGTCATTATAATTAACCCAAATAAATATTATACTTGTGGAGGCATGGATGAGTTGCCAAAGTATGAATAAAATGTTATATGAATTAGATGATTAAATAAACATCTATGGTTATGGTTATGTGAATAGGAGGATATAAAATGCTCCTAGGATTGAGTATGGTATTATTAAGGTTAATAACCATTTGGATTAATTTTGGGAAAGATGATTTCCATGTGATGTGAACGGTTTATGTTAGGGATAGTCATGTGTGTGTGTATCTATATATATATATATATATATATATTTATTAATCTACGGTTTGGGATTATGGAGATATTAATTATTATTGGTGATGTTATGTATTATTATTTATCACTATATAATAAAGGCTAAAATTGGAATTAGGATGGTTGTGGTTAGACATGTGTTATTTATCAGTTTTCAGGGACTTGTTAGAGGAAACTTGTTCGTGTTTTGACCCACCTTATTTTATTTTTTAAATTCTTAGAAGTTCAAGTCTCGAAGTTGAGGATCCGCAGCTTGGAGGCTTATCTATCATCTACTCTTCTATTTCAAAGTAGGATGTTATTAAGTCATTTAACTTTAGTTTTATTTATGAATTTCTGGATAATGGATGGTAGTTAAGGGATCCTTAAATTATGAGATTCCCGAGTTATAACATTTGGAGAAATTATTATTCAATGAAATTATTATTTATTAGTTTTCTTCAGCGTTTTATTTATTCTTTATTATTCATCTTTATATTCTATGCTTGCTAAATATTAATTGTTTTGATATCCTCTGGTTTTACGAGCGTGCACTTGATCAACCAATGTCTCTGAAATTAAGGGGTATCATAGCCTTTCCTAGCATGGCCAATAATATGCGCATATGCAATACAACTAAACAATTTCAACCATTAAAGATTTATCTCTATATCGCTCAATACCTCTTCTGGTACCCTATAATGGCACTAGCGGTCCGCAATTAATCAAGTATGTTGTTGTACTTACTGCTTCTGCCCAAAACTACTTGCGTAAACCCGAATATATACGCATGCTTTTGGATCTTTCTGTCATCCGTTCTGCCACCCCGTTTTGCTATGGGATTCCTTACATAGTTCTCTCGAATCTGATCTCATTCTCATAACAGAAGTTCTTGAACCCGGTGTCTTCATACTTACCACCATTGTCTGATCTCAATCTCTTGATTTTCAAACAAGTCTTATTCTCTACCATGGCCTTTCACTTCTTGAACACCTCATGCGATTTGTGCTTCAAGAAATGAACCCATATCTTCCTTGTATGATCATCAATGAAAATCACAAAATAAGACTTCCCGTCAACGGATGAGATTGGGCTGACCCCCAAATATTTGTGTGAACTAGCTCAAGCTTCTTCTCCTTGAAAATTATGCCACTCTTCTTGAATCTTCTTCTTGCCAAACACGCAACTCTCACAGAAATCCATATAAATCACCTTTAGGCCTTGGTAGTTTCCCCTTTGAGTATATAATCTTGACTCTTGAGTCTCCTTTCACCCATGTGACCTAGCCTCGTACCAAAAATTGTGATCCTCTTTGCTATCAACCCACAAGCGCTAGTAATTTCCACTCTTCTTGAAACTAACCCTCTTCTACTTCTAAGAGTAATGCTTGACTCTACAGGACAAGCAGTGCTAGGTGGTAGTGGATCTGAATTTAAAATTGAATCATCCTGAGCTCTTTGGACAACAGAAATGGGTGGCACGTGGAGTTGACATACAACATTTTGCCCTATATATGTCAATGGCAGGCAAGGGAGGAAGAGGGTTGGATGAGGAAGCCTGCAAACTTGTGACAAGTGACTTGAGTGTGGCAACTTCTGCCAATAGCTCAGCAGCTTCATTGTTTTTCACTTGAGCATCAACCAGATCATACTCCAAACTCTTCAATAGCTTCTTGAGTCTTGCCACCTCTTCTATAAGTCTAGTGGAATCCATGATGGATGCCTCAAGACCATCAAGAAGATAAACAAGATCTTTAATGAACAATTTGTTTGGGTTAATAATTTTGTAATTCTGCAGGGCAAGGGAGGAAGAGGTTTTGACTTTGTAAATGTAAAACCAGCAACTGATTGTGGTCTTGGAGTGAACTAAGATGGTGGGTGATGTGCACCCAAACTGAAATCCATTTTTAGGACCAGAAACATAGGGCCTGCTAAAATCTTGTCAAGTTCCATTTAATTTCACCTTATCACACCATACATTTTATGGATTAAGACTAAAATCCTGTCAAGTTCCATTTAATTTCATAAGGTGGGGACATCGATCTTCATCAATGAACTTCAATTATAGTCCTTCAAGATAACCATTGTGAATATATATATATATATATATATATATATAGAGAGAGAGAGAGAGAGAGAGGATAACCATTGAATTTCAAGTGCAAGGATCAAATTGTAAAAAAATTAAAATTTATTTAAAAATGAACGATAATAGCTAGTCATAGAAGACTTAAATCAAAAGACAAATAAAGAGCCCAAAGCTCCCCTTTTACTGGATGCATTGAAGTGTATGAGTTTTGAATTTTCTACCACAGAGAATCCATCAACTGAAATCCCCTGAACCATATATACACGTGCATTATTCTTGTGGGGGTATAGGCCCAATCTCTAGTGTCCCGTACTTTTTTGAAATTTTTTGACATTTTTTTATTTTTTATATTTTTTTATTTTTGAGCGTCATTAATTTTCGTGGCAATTGATTTTAGTCAAAAAAATAATTCATATTCTATAAAAATGAGTAGTTGATTATGAAATACTCTAAGAGGACACCACATACCACATCCATTTAGTTCATGCAATAATTAAAATGAAGTTAAAAACAGCTAGCTATTAAAAATTAATTTGTAACGTGTATCATAAAAAATAATTAAAAAACAAGTACTATCATTTTCTTAAATTTTGATAGTGACAGAGGATAAAAGAAGCAAAATGAAGTTATCATTTATATATATACGTTTATTTTTTTCTTTACCTTGCATGACAAGAAACTCACATACTATTTGTTCTTATTAAATTAAACCTAACCTTCGAATTTCAACTATTTTGATAAAAAAAAAAAATCACTAGATTATTAAAGGCTTTTGATAATCCTTACTAATTAACAATTACATTCCAAACTTAGAAACTTTTTATACAATATCGACTTTTGTTTCTACAATTATCATCATCATGATGTAAATACAAGTATATATAAAGAAGTTAAAAATATGACCACAAGAAAGAAAAAGAAAAAGAAAAAAAAAAAAAACTGTAAATAAAAATTGTGCTCAGAAGGGGACGTGTAGGTTCCTACTTAAACCCCCGTTCACATTGGTGAAGAACCCAACCAGCTCTGGTCTGTACGGAAGGTACGACCGCTTTCGATCCTCCTCCTTCATGGCTCTGTTCCTCACGTAATGCAACTCATGCGCCGACAACGACGCCTTTTCGCGCTTCCCTCCCTTCTTCACCTTCCCTTTCCCTCCGGCACCGGAGCCATTCTTCTCCGACGACGTCTTGCTCTTCTCCATTATCTCTTCTCTCTTCGTCGAACCGTTCAAGAACACGAAGGCGTCCCTGCCGTCGCTGTTGCTCCGATTCACCGACTCTCCGATCCTCCACAGCTTCGAAAATCCGGTGGAGTTGCTCTTCTTGCAGATCTCCGGCGACGCTTCAATCGCCTTTCTTGACCAGTTACAGTACGACCCGGTTGCTGTCGTCTCCATTTCTTCACTTTTCGACGCCAACGATGATGACATACGAGGTGTTGGAGGATCGTTCGCTTCGATGAAGATTTTTCTCACCGGAGGTCGAAGAGGCAAATCGTTCTTGGACGGCATAGAAACCCCGGACAAGAGCACTTCTCTGTTGAATAATGGAAACGTCGGCCGGATCTGACCGTTCTGAAAGACATCCTCCGCCGCAATAGGCGATGTGTAGCCGCCGTTACATACAAAAGAGAAATCTTCTTCTTCTCCTCCTCCCACTCCAGCTTCGAATTCATTTTTCGAATTGTTGAGATTTAGCTTTGAGCTAAAATCATCAGCGACAGTCTCTGCAAGTTCGTCGGCACTTAAGCTTGGAGACGAAGATAGGGTTTGAGTCGCCTGCATTCTGAAGTTCCAGATTTTATCTCTCTAAAAAGTCTCTGTTTCTCTCTCTAATGATATGTACGTACTGTTCCGTGATTTATAGTTATCCCTTAGTTATATATTGAAAAACTGCGAGGCGCAATTGAGTGTGGATATGTTTGAACTTTGAAATACACCGTGTGTGTATATATATATACATTCTGAATAGTAAACGATAGATACGTAAAGACGTGTGTTATATATATATATATATATATATATATATAATATAGTCTAGAGAGAAGATTTGTAAAAATTATGTGGCGGGGTGGGAAATGTGAGTTTGCGCGTTTACGTTGCGATGTGTTCGACTTTGTAAAAAATTTGACCTTTCGCTTGTTGTTAGTGATTCATGGCTTGTTCACACGTGCTAAAAAACTTTACACGTGTGATGACATGAGCTGTCCACGTTTGAAAACACTCCATCACATCTAGAATGTGAGACTACTTCGTTATTAATTTTCATTTTTCTAATCCGCAATTTGCCGGGAAAAGAAAGATTTTATACAAGTTGGAGTGAAGGGGTTGGGGACTTGGGACATTTTTGAAGTCAAAATCAGCAACCCCAATCAATGTTGATTTTTCTCTTTGTTTGAAGTAATTTATACACGGAGTAAGTGAAAACTAAAAGGCACTCGAATTGTGGGCGGTTTGATACATTTATGTGGATTTGATTTTTATTTTTTATTTATTCCTTGTAAGTTTGCATATAATCAAAACACATTGGATACAATTGCACGCAACACACCGTTCGCTATTTTGAGAAGAATTCATACAGCCTTGTTTAATGGTCCAGTCATATATACTTTAATAATGATGTTGCTATGTTCCATAAAATCGACTATCTTTAGCTAAAAAGCACAAACATAAACATGAATACGAATATGATATTTATATATTTACATGATCGTACAACCAATATATATATAATATGACTGTGAATGAAATTATTAATTTAGAATTTAGAATTAGACATTCTTATTTTTGTTTTCGTAATTTTTATATTATCTTTTTAATTAACTCTCATATTATATTCTAAATTATATTTAATCCCATTTTTTTTTTTAAATATAATATTACAAAATCAATGCGTATTTCCTTGCCGTGTCTCAGTCGTGATCAATCAAAAAATAACATATTTAAGTTTCATATACTTCTAAGTTCAAGCGGTTTCATATTTTCGATAAGAGTCTCAATATCTAATTAAGTGTTTTTGATAATGCGAGTAAGTTTGTTTGTAACACTAAGCTCCCATTTTAACGGTCCAACGGTAATTGCTTATGCCATTTATTTAATATTACTAAATTACCAATTTTGCCCTTGGTTGGAGTGAAAAGACTAGTTAAACCTTTGTGTAAGTGAATTACAAAAATACCATCCTCTCTTTATACATATAACCAACCCTTGTGCAGTCTCCACCTTTTTTTCTTTTCTTTTAATTTTCCAGTGGGTATCATGAAAGTTTGATAATACCATTTATTATTATATTTGATATATTGCTATATATGTTCTATTCCTAAACCCAATTTTAGGACTTCCATGTTGTCAATGAGATAACCATTTATTATACTTGATGCGCTCCTACACTGGAAGTATTCCTACACCCAATTTCAAGACTTCCATTTTTCCTGTGAGAATGGACTGATCGATCAAGAAGCAACAAATCAGTGTGCTCAGTGAGGGAGTCAGGAATTTAGTTCAGTGGAAGCAATCATTAACAATAACATGATAAGAAATTTTGAACCAAAATAATAAATAGCAACGGAAGAATTTTTTTTTGAATTTTGATTCTTAAAATTTTTTGAAGCCCTTTGAAGGAGAAAAAATGTGGGTCGTTTTTTAATTTTGAAAAATTTATTGACCAAATGAGTTGGAAAATGAGAGAACGAAGATCTCTCATTTTTGGATGTTTTTCATAGGGTTATGTGAATTTTTTAGGAGCTCAATCCGGGTAACTATTATAATTATCAAAATTTGTATATAGAATTACAGATAATAGAAATTCAGTAACAAATGAGGGGTCTTTTCTTAATTTTGAATCTCAAACACTGGTCTTTTGAATTTTGAAAAACTTTTTGGGCAAATGAGTTATAAAAGGAGGGATCATTTTGACTTTTGCAAGTTTTTCTTAACGCTTTTTACGAATATTTTTAAAGTTTAGTGGGGTCACATTTACAATTATCAAAACTTATGTATAATAAATACAAATAAAAGAAATTTTCAGTTGGGGCACATTCACAATTTTCAAAACTTATGTATAAAAAATACAAATAAAAGAAGTTTTCAGTGGGTCCTAATCTGGCCCTGCCACTGAGGGTGCTTGTCCGTCATACTGTATACGAAGGTGGGTTCGGTGAAAGAAGGCAAATTTGGCCGCCATAAATAAAGCTTGTACTCCATTCATCTCTCTCTAAATTTCATTTTATATATCTTTGTTTCTCTCTTTAAATTGGCAAATCTCTTTATAATGGATAAACAATTTCTTTATTTTCCGAATTGGATCAATATTCCTCCCGTTTTATTTCTATAATAAGAGGGTGAAAGGTTGTTAGAGTAAATTTCCATAGTTTACTATATATTTATATATATAAAGAGAGGGAGATCGATGGGCAGTATAGTAAGTTTTTCATTGTTACTGGAGTGTATTTAAATAAAATATGTATATTCATTATGTTGTGTTTGGTGGCATGAAATTGAAGCCTCGTAATTGAAATTGGAAAAAAATTTTGTTCAATTTTTTGAGTTGTTTTTTTCTAATTCCACAAATTTCAATTTTAATTTCAAAGTTTCAATTCTATGTCTGTCAAATATTACATAATTATAGTATATTTGACGGTCCTTCGGTAATAGGAGATCTGTGTTACTAGATTTGTTTTTTAGAAAAAGTCAGAATAATTTAAAATAATAGAAGTGGTTTGTGTAAATATGACAAATCTTACAAAAGGTTCATGTAATTTATATATATATATATAATAATGAGAGAGAGACACTACATAGAGAGAGTTGTTTCATCACTAAGAGATGGAGATGGACTGCATGACGGTATAGTACGTAACTTTTCATTGTTACCAACTTGGCAACTTGATGGGTATTTAAGTAAAATACACACACGTTAGTGTACTTGACTGTCAGTAATAAGGGTCTGTACTTCTAAGTTTTGTTTTTTTCAGAGAGATTAGAGTAATTTTAAAAATGATAAGAAAAGTTCGTGTACTTATGAAAACCCTTAAGAGAAGCACATGACATTTTGAAACTAAAATTCTCACCGGTTAAACATGCAAACTATGTATTGACTTTCTTTTAAGGGTCTTGGGCTCTAAAAAATTAAACAACCAATTGCCTTCGATCATAGCAGACAACAATTTTGGTTAAATTAAAGCCAAGCATCCATTAAAATTTAGAAACATATTTTTAGTATTAATGAACAACAAAAATATCAATTCATGGGATTTCTTAATTTAACAATTTCACGTGGAAAAAAATACATCTAAAAGGAAAAAAAAAAAAAACTATTGTGAAAGAGACAAGGACATGCCATATTCGAGCTCTTGTTTACTTTGCTCCTTGCGTACACCATCTTCAAATTTCCCACTGGCGCCAATTCTGCAAGAATACGCGCATTCTCTCTTGCACTCGTTCCAAGTGAATATCTTGACTTTCATGCAATGGTAGTGGCATTCTGCCCTGCAATTCACATTCGCTCTACGCCCTTCAGCCCGCGCCAACACCGCCAGCATGCACATCACCACTAGTGTTATCGCTGCTACCTTTTTGCAGGCCATGTTTGAATATCTATAACTTACACCTGGTTTGCTTTGGCTGTGAATAAAAACCAGACAAGGGTTGGTTGATAGAGACAAAACCAACAATGTTCAACAATGTATGATGGATTTAAATGCATATTGCAAATGGGCAGTGAAGTTACAATTTATAGGAAGAGGGAATATTGAAAATGGGCAATACAGTTGGTTCTTACTTTGTATAGTATTGTGATATAATGCAGGAATGCTTTTAAGAATTGCTTTGCATAATAAGAAAGTGCATGGTTAAAAAAGGAATGACCATTAATGTTGGATGATAATTAAGGAAGTTTTTTTTAGTTCTTTTGACAAACCAAAAATAGATTATTAAGCTTAAGCTTACTATTTATTGTTCCAACTAGCTAGTGGGATGTTTAATGATGTTTAATGCTATAAATTAAGCAGCTCCCAAAAAAAATGGAGAGCAACCTACCGATTGGGCTATGAATGCATTCTCGAGCATGTATGCCATATAAATTCACCACAGCACCTTTCTAATTGCTAGTGCCATGTATGCCATATAAATTCACCACATTTCCTAATCAATACGACTTTTAGTAAATACATGCAAGCTTTTTCATTTTTGAAGAAAAGAATAAGAAGATCACACTTTAAAGGTATTAGACATTTGTGGAGTGTTGGTTGATTTATCAGCGATTCTTCTATATAGATCAAGTGTACGTAAATCTGAAGTCAAGAGTTATTGAACAAGGGAGTTGCAAAGCCGAAGACTATCAGCAATTGGCTTTTGGTAGAATGACAGTGTGTGAGTTTGAGTCAAAATTCATTTTACTTTGTTTGATACCGTGTGACAGTCTTCGAGATTTTTTCAATGTTTGGATGATTTCTCAAACTAAGTTTCCTCGTTAAAACCCAGTGTTTCTCTAACTCTAATTTTTTTACTTTGCTTGCATTTATTTTTGCTTTGTGGATTGTTTAATTTACTTTTATTTTGATAAATTTGTTTAAGCAAAATCGGATAGAAAAGCAAGTTCAACCTATTCACCCCCGTCTAGATTGCTTATCCTTACTATATTCCACAAACATTTTGCGTTGTGCAACTCACAATTAGTATAAGAGCTATTCATCCTCTACACATTGAGTTTTTCCTTGTGGAATATTTTTAAAATAAAAAATCTGGTTTTGTTTTAAAAAATTCATTATAAATACCAATCTTTCGAAAGGTGGATCTATTCAATGAATCTAAACCTCACAAACGCGCAAAGCTCTTCCTCAACAATAAGGTTATACATTTTTG